GCTGCATTTCCGGTGGAGGCGAAAATGTTGTAGGCCCGCGTGCTCAGATTTGGGTGCACGTTAAAAAAACCCAGGTGGTTGAAATTTCCGGAGCCCTTCACTATGGTGTCTCTAATAATCATATGGTGGTTTTGGGACGTTAAACCCCACGTATCAATCAAATCATCACTCCACAAGCTTTTTCTGTTTGTTTCTTTTTACCTGCTGGTTGTAATAACTGTACCAAACTTTCGCTCTCTCGGTTTGTATTGACGCCAAGCCATAGTTCTGATTTTACACAGAGATGAAAGGGATGCGTGCCTTTCATTCATCTCAACCCATTTCTCATCTACGTTGTGCTCAACAGACCTGCTATGAGATACTCATTGCTGAGGAGCATTAGGCTTTATCGGTACTGTGGAGTGAAAATGCTACCTGAGGAATCCAAACTTTCATGGCATCCTGTTTGCAGTACATATCCCTTTCCTCTACTATGAAAAAACTCCCACCAGATTTTAGCACTGCAGGCAGACATGTAGAGGTGTTAATTAGATTACGCAGTGATTTTCATATCTGCAACGTAGTATAATATCACAGTCTGATGCCCAGTCGCTGAAGGGGTCTACTGTTATGAATACTTCGTACTGGTGCTGAGCCTGACATGACAACTTGCCTCATGCTGCCTTACTTCTCGCATGGCGAGGCTTAAGCAGCACCATTTCTTCAGGAGCTGGCTGTTAGATTTGTAATATTATGACGTATTCGGTTGGGTGTTTACGAGCACTCTGGAGCGCTCTGAAGAGTGGCTGACCGTTGTTTGGTATAATTCAAGTGCTCAGACTACCTTCAGTTGGTTATTTTGGAGCGTCAGTCTCTGACTCGGAGCGCTCCCGACCGCTCTGACTTCGAAGTGAGAGTGTGGTGAGAGCTGACCAGGAGGACAGATCACGTAACTCAAGCTGGCAAATCACGTGGCTGCCGGCAGGTGAAGAGTGCCTACAGTACGAGCGCGCGTTTCGGAAAGGGACACCGGCGCGGGCATGTAATACTTCGTGCACATGCGTTGTCAGGGGTGTTTTTGAGCGTGTGTGTGGCGAGTTCACATTTACGAAACCATGAATGCACCATGTCAATAAGGAGGTGGCTAGCGAAGGCAGAGAAAACTTGGATACTGTTGTTAAAGCAGCTCGCAGACAGCTATGTGATTTGAACTGAAGATAGCAGCCTAGACAATGACGGTTGCCATATTGATGATGTACTTAGCTCAGAAGGCTGTCGCTGCGTCCAGATGTGTCGAAAAGGGCTACTCGACTGATCGGCGCCATTTGTCAATGCGGCGCAGGAATGTTTATGTACTAGGTGGCTTACTGTGCTGACTGCACAGTGGCTCTACAGGCGCGCTGCTCTGAACTCGCCGACATATTCAGTTGGTACACTGCTTCTCGTGCTTTAATTGCAAGCTGCCTCGTCATCTGGCGACTTGGAGCCAGAGGACTGGAGCCGCCAATCGAATACACCATTAGTGTCTGGTTGAAGAAAGCTTCAACTGGGTGTTTTTTTACTGCTCAGTCTGGAATTGAGTTTCTCATTATGCAGTGTACAATTGTTTTTCTACTGCTTCATCTGAAGAGGGTTCATGCTTTTCACGGGCACAAATTGCTTGAGATCAGCCCGCTCTTCACTAGATTGTTCCTACTTGTTTCCGTGCTGAAAAATGGATGCATTCGAATGAAAGTCACACATCTCTCCCATCTTTATGTGAATTACTTTATGTAAAACTATTGTGAACCAAATGAGATAGTGACATTGGTTTCAGAAGAAGCAAACAAAGTGGTAATTGAGTGCTACTTTCATTACCAGTTTATTCAGTGTGTTGCACAACAACAATTCCTTTTAAGATAATTCTCACTGAGTGTTTCTGCTTTCCGCTGACATACATAATTTGGACTGATAAATTCTGTGTGCTCCCTATCTTAGTGGTCGCTTCACATCACTTATTGAATAACACTCATTAATTAACCCACATATGACATTCTGAGACTGTAATATTACATCAACAAAAGTGGTTTAAGGGAGACAACCTGAATGGGCACAGTGTTTGTAACATCATATGCTCCGATGTTTTCAGAAAACTTGAGCAAGACGCCTTGCGACATCCAATATTTCTGTAGCCACTACACATTGCTTATATACAATTAAAAATGTGGTAATGCCATACGTAAATTCAAACACTGAGCCAGTTTAGTACAGCAGTAGAACAGAAAGCCAAGCTGGTTGTTAATGCATCTTAAAATAGCTCAAAAAACACGTGGACACAGCAAGAAGACAACATAGGTGCTGTCCACATGTTTTTTGTTATGCACTATTTTGCAATGCAGTTTAGGATAATTCATTTGAAACTGTCTTTTCATTATGATCGATCTGGTGACATCATAGTATATCTTTATTGAGTGACACAATATTTCAACTATGCATTAACGGGTGTTTTCACTTTTTGCAGTATACTATGAGGATTCTGTGCTCTTTCATTTTGGATTACCTGCATTGTTTCATTTTAATTAGATTTATTATATTTGTGTGTGTGTCTGTGTGTGTGTATTTTCTACAAGTGCCATGAGTTGGTTGGTAGTTGAGCTTTCATGTAAAACGTTTGTCTTATTTTTCCTCAAAACACGCTTTTCAGATTCCACCTTCTTTCCAGGCCGATGCGCCGAAGTTGTAGTTCAGGGCAAAGCCGTGGGAACTATCGGTGTCCTGCATCCCGAAGTGATTACAGCATTCGACCTCAGTCTTCCGTGTTCAGTTGTAGAAATCAACATCGAGCCATTCGTCTAGCTGCTCATTGCAAGCGACCATGGACTTTCTACGGCAACATTGAGATACTCTTCGCTAGTGCGATGTAGTTTAATTTGCATGAGTCAGGCTACGTCTGAGCACCAAGCTTTCTTATTTTTTAACGGTGAGTGGTGGATTATCTTCAAGCCATTTTCACATATGCACATCTTTAAGCAAGGTCACTTACCTACTTATGGCATCACGATTGCTACTAGTGCTGTGCTTTTGTGCAGATAAGAAATTAAGAGAACGGCACATAAGTTTAGGAGCACTTCCACATTAAATAAATGTTTTGTTGGCCGAAAGCTGGTATATCTTTGCCAAAGACACTGTATGCATTTATTTTTATATAAGATAAGGTCAAGTAGAAAACAACGAGTTCAGTCCAGAAAGTATGGTTTCACTTTGTGTCTGTGGCTTTTAACTTGCGTAACACAGCAATATTGTCTCTGGTCGACAAACATTAAAGCAGGGCTGTAACAGACACTGCCTTTACAGGAACAATTGCAGGGTAAGTGAAGGCAAGATGTTTTTCTTCAGGCATGGTCATTTGTCGAACAGCTGTCCTCCTGATGCGGAACTTTCTCCACTGCCGCCACACCCTCATACCCCCCCCAAAAAACAGTCTAGTCCGAAAGAAAACAAGCGTCACAATGGATGCAAATAATAGTAATCTCCTGCGACATGTAATAACGTGTGAGGTATAACTAAATAGTCTCACTATTAGTGCGGGGCACTTTGTGGATCACATGCCACAAAGATTTTTAGAATTCATTAAACACGAGTAGAGTTACAGGAGTTTTTGCAGGCCCTTAAGCACTTTCTCTTTTTTTTCCCCACTGGCATGCACGCCGAAAGTTACACAGGCAGGGGAACGACAAGAGGGCAAAGAAATCTTCCCTCAGCATCCCTCGCCACCTTGAGCAGTTTTTCTTCTCTTTTAACGCATGTCTTCCTTTCAGTGTGATTGCGAGTTAGCAAGCGGGCACATAAAGCTATCCCGCAGTGGCCTCAAGGTAACTATACAGCTTGCGATGCTGCAATCAGCAAACAGCCGTGCACTTTGGCTGTGTGGCGAAGTAATTTGGGTATATGGCATCACAGATAGAAGCGGAAGAGGTTTCTAGCCGACTCTGAGAATTTCTAATTGTAAATTTCAGGCCACGTGCCGCCTTATAATATTTGGCTTGCGTGTTATCGGGAGTCTGAACTCGAAGTTGCAAAAAGCATACATGTGTATTCTTTCAGGTATTCTTATTTCAATTGCCCTAATCGAACTTGCAACATCCGAGTGCAGTGAGTGGCACACGGCTAGAGTCTGAGCGTGGCTGTGACACAAGTGCTACTTAATGGGATGTTTAATGTTTCTCTTCCTTTGAAGAAGCAACTTATGTTCCTGACAGTGCAGGTAATGATGACGGTGTAATGTGTTTGCAGACCATCCCCACGTTAAACATTCGGTCCTGTGCAGTAGCGATGACACTACTTTCTACCGACCTATTGCCGTGGCAGATTTGTCAGGCAGGCTCTGTACATATGATGTCGGAATGCCGATCTGTTCATACGTCAATTCTAGTTAGGGCAGCTTTCTGCAACACGCTCAGGACTTCTCAAAGCATTGTTCATGCACGGTAACGGAGCTGAAATATAACATTTTACACCGCCCGCAAATATAGGCGGCGAGCTTTCATGGTTTCGAAAAGTATCTTGGTCAAAAAGTGCAGTGCATTACTTTATTCGGTGAAAGTGACACGGCCTGCACGTCCTATCTGTTCTTATGCTATATACCTATGCTAACAAAAAAACTAAAGGGTTCACCCTCCTCCGGGCGACATCATAAATCTTACAGCGCGCCACCTATGGTTTGCGGGCATTGCGAATAACTGTACGCCGCTTGGCACTCATCTACATGCGTGAGTGGTCAATGTAACGGGTGTTTTACTATAACACTGAATGATTTCACTGCTTCGCCCACTCGTAAACTTTGTCGATATCCCATGATTTTTTTTATTTGCTTTCAAAGCGTGATTTTAGTTTTAGTGCATAAATTTCCGAAAACAAAATGGCTGCCATGACAAGGTTTGTGCACCCTCTTGTGATTTTTATGGATTCACGCTCCTTCAGGTGCCCCCCCTCCCCCATCAGTGCGAAGAGACCTGTTGACGAGAACGAAAATACAGCAAGAATTTGCAAGCACAGCCATTTACTGTAACTTCTTTGCGCGTGGGGCGTCACAGAGTCTTGCTCTGACCACGGTGAGGCTTCACGGTGGCGACGATGGCGGCGGTGGCGGCAGCAGCCTCGGCGGCCATGTTGTCGAGGTTGTCAGCCTTGGCCAGGTTGTTTAGCGCTAAAGGCGGGTGCATGGCGCAGCCAACCGCGGCACAGCGTCCGCCGTGATGGTGACTCATGACACCCTCGCGCGTGTTCTTGGCCGGCTTGCACAGCGCGATGTACACCTGCGCATTGGAAAATTGTATATCATTTTTAAAATATAGATCGGAAGCGGCATATTGTTCCGCGTGCTTATTTACTGTCCTCAGCGAAAAGGCGTGAAGACGACGACCGACACACACAGGGCGCCATTAATAAGTGGAACAGTTTAATAATTGAGACAACAGAGATTTCATTGCGATAGCAATTATATATACAGTCTCGGCTGGTCTATGCCACCGCCTTTGTTCACGTGTATATATGCATGTATAGGGGACGAATGCGTTAGCCTCCTCTTTCTGCGGAGTGAACATCGCCTTTCCGGCCGGGGTCGTCTGCGCGCCCACTTATCTCGCAAGCTAACAAGAGGGGAGGGGGTAGACTTATCATTGCCAGGCTATCGCAGCAACGATCAGCACACGGCTCTTGCCCCCACAGCGGGCGGTAGCTTCTACGGGCTGCGTTCTCAACACGAAAAGAAATGGTGCCAAAAGTGTACCTGGAGCGGCCGTCCACATATAGATGCGCCCTACACATAACTGCCACCAGCGGTGACACGCGACGAATAGCCCATAGTACCAGCTTGCGCTGCCCACGGAAGGCGCTTCTGATCAACGCCGTCACAACGCAGAACCTTGTGGTCATATATGTGGCTGCGCCGCAAGAAACTTGGTTAGTTAGCAAGCGCATGTTTTACTATACAATTGATATTGCTTTTAAAAATGCAAGTCTTGCTTCGTAAAAGATTCGAATATGTTGCTACCGTGTTCATTCATTCGCACTTGTGGCGAAACTGAGACCTTTTTGAAGCATCCGATCGTTGCGCGAGTGGGGTTTTCATATCTTTATCTGAATGTGGCTGAGCAGCAACGAAACGTGATAATGCTGTCTGGGTAAACATTAAAAAATATATAGTGCACCTTTTTTTTTCTTGGAATAAACCTTGTTGGAAAAAAAAGGTGCCCACTATGTGTGGGTGTCTTTGTCGTCCATCGCCATCGCGTTTTTTTTTTTTTACCTCAGATTATGCAATACCAATACGTAGAGCAGTTGTTCACCCTTACTGTTATCTGGCTGCGCCCCAAAAAATACTGTCACCTCCGCCCGACGCAGGCTGCGTTCTATTGCTTGAGAAACTTTTAGGCGGTTCCGATAAGACATACGCGCATAAACGCGAGCAGCCGAGTTCATTCTGCAGCTAACGTGAGTGCTGTTACGACGCGCACCTCCGACGACGTTACGAAGGGCGCCTCGAAATCTCACCGCTGCAACCACTGTTTCGAAAGACAGCGACGCCTACACGGTCCCGAAGGCGCCACTGCTTCGAACTCCGCAGGGAAGGTCACCTGCCGTTTGGTAGCGTAGGTTTCTCAGCTCGCGACTGATTCTGCGCTGAGCTGATAGACGAGCGGACGAGACGACGGTGAGTAAACAAGGTTTATGTACAGCATTTATACAGAGGCGTTACAAATTCGGCACTGGGGCCGACAGAGACGCGAAGAGCCGAGCTCTTCTCTCTAACACATAGGTCTGCTCTCAAATGGGTCTGCTGTCAAAGGGGTCCGCTGCGACACACATGTCTGCTTTCACCTAGGACCGCTGATCGCGACGCGCCGCAGGGCTTCCTTTATATGCACCGGGTCCAATTCAAATGTCCGACCAGAAGCGCCGCTGGTCATGAGGTCAGACTCCTCCAATGGGGTCGCCGCTGGGCCGCGTCATTCTTTCTCATCGAATCTGGAGAGGCTGCGCTGTAGGTGGCTGCACCCAAGGACGAGTGACGTCGCTAGGCATTGCGTCAGCCGCCAGACAGGAAGACGCCGGTTGTTTACTCGACGGGCTCGCGGACAGAGGTGACTCACTGCACGTGCACGCCAGAAAGGCGCCGTCGAGTGTTGACGCCGTTGAGTTGTTCGCGTCAGGCGGGCTGGCCTTGACACAGATTTCCTTTTTCCGAGGCACGGACGTTCGCTGCGGACTCGCAGGCATAACAGTGCCAGTAATAATTCTAGAAATTGAGACTATTTATGTATACTAACGACGACGCGTCGCGCCAGCCATCAGATTAGAGACGGCCGACAACTGTGGTCGCCGCAACTGCGCGCACCTGTACTTGTACTTCGCGTTACGGATCTTGACACAGACTGGCCCAGTAAGAGTTCCGTCTTCACAGCCTTCTCCACCGTCACTTCGTAAATATATAAGTGGCGCTGCCATCGAACAGCTGAGTTCCGCTGCTAGAAGCCGTACAAAGACAGTCGTGCGTTAAAGTGTAAACTGGAGTGTGATAAGCCACGGTCACATGAGCACATTTAGACCAACACGCGTCTGTTATTGCGATGTGTCGAATGGATGACACAGCAGCTTTTTATTGATTGTATCTGGAGTTTTACGTCCGAATGGACCATAGCTGGATTATGCGGGACGCCTCAGTGGAGGGCTCCGGAAATTTCGAGCATCAAACGAATCTACGCCCCTTTCGCCTACACTGAAATACAACCACCGTGGCTGTGATCGAACGCTTGACCTTATAGGGTCAGTAGACGCGCACCGTATTCACTGATCCACATTAGCGGACAGCAACTGGGTATTGTAGCGCCTGTGATAGTGCCCACGTGCAGACGACTGTTTCTCTTTATTCTGTTTGCCGTATCTTGATTTTTTGTGTCGTGCACGCGCTCACAGGCGATTGTGAACGCGGTAAGTGACTTCAGACAGCTCTGTCGCATTCTGCGTGGCCTACCCGCCACCTCATCACGAGTGGTCGGTGACGCACGATCGGCAACTGTTTATCGACAGCACTGTATCGAGGCGGAAAGGGCCGAAAGTTGGCGGTACCGCGACGCCCTCGCCTAGTTGTTTCCGACAGCGGCCGCCGCAGATCGCCCACGGGGCAGTCAGGTTTCAGGTCATTTGCCAAGTGTTCGTGTGTTCCCGTTCATGTATGCTGCTCACGATAGTACGATACCTACAGGTATCGACCCAGGTTGCCGCAAAATCGAACGTCCGGAGAAAATGGCGGAGCAGGTAAGCCAAAATTTAATGCAGTTCACATCTGAAACTAAGTGACTTATTCCCAATTTACCTGAGTGTGATGAATTGGGAGCCACAATGGAGTAAAGTACGGTTATAAAGGATTCATTCTAAAAATATGTCCGAGGGAGCTTAATTGTCTGCCGTAAATGGTATATGTGCCTGAGTAACTGTCTGCGCGAAAAGGGCCACACCCATTCAAAGCATTGGGATTGACAATTGAATATCATTGTCACCAGCCTAATTATGCCCACTGCAGGGCAAATGTCTCTACCAGGTAACACCAATCAACTTGGTCCTGTGCTTGCAGCCGCCATGTTATTCTCGCGAACTTGCTCATTTCATATGCCCACCCAACCTTCTGCCTCCCGCCAACCAACCGTTATCTTACCTTCGCGCTATATGCCCTGCGTGGCAATTCGTTATGGCGGTGGTGGTGTCCTTTTAATACATTAAAAAAAATGTGGGGGCCAGTACGAAGACCGGTTGAGGACGTCGGCGGGGATCCCTTGGGACGCAGCTTCCACCGCGCGCTTGAGCTGGCGTTGGTCTTCCGGCAGAGCCGTTTCATACCGCACCCGCCGCAGCGGTCTAGTTATCATGGCGCTTCACTGCTGATCCGACGGTCACAGGATTGCATTCATGCCGCGTTGCCGCATTATCCGCGGCCCACGTTTTTAGATTTAGGTTAAAGAACCCCGGGTTTCCGTATCTCTCCACTATATACGGTGTCCCGCGGATTAATATCGTGGTTTCGGAACTTACAACACTAGCAATTGATTATTGATACCTTCGGCGCGAAGAGGCAAGCGGTCTGGACAGCGCCGGACAGGCTGAGCAGGAAGCTGAGTGCCAGCGTGCGTATGGTCGGCGACCCGGAGAGCAGGAAGAGCGGCAGGAAGGCGAGCCAGATGACGCACGTGGTGTAGTTTGCGAACGCCAGGTGGCGGGCCTCGTTGAAGCCCTCGGGACACTTGCGCGTCTTGAAGGCGTACACGGTGCAGACGCCGATGAGTAGCGACGGGTAGACGAGTCCCAGCAGGTACGAGGCACGGTCCGAGCCCTGGCAGACGAGCACGTTTCGCGCCCTGCTCGGGTACACGTGCGCCACGGACGGAGGCTCGAGCATGAGCCACGCCGCTGCCAGGGTGGCCTGCACGCTGATCAGCAGGCCGGCCAACAGCAGCTGGGACCGAGGGCTCGTGTAGCGCAGCCTTAGAAAAAAAAAAGAGAAAAAATGAGGTTCTTCTTCAGACGGCTTGAAGGGGGAAAAAATTGGCCCCGCATCTGCATGTTACACTGTAAATGTCGTTGAAAGACGATAGTTTTGCGTCTAGAGAGAGAGAACAAAACGTTTATGTGATGTTCTGCGCAAGAAAATCGGTGAATGGTATTCTGGAGGCGCAGCGTTAGAGTGCCTCGAGCGTGCAGCGGAGGTGAACGAGCGCATCAATTCACGTCACACGTGAGACATGAGCGCTATCTGGCAGTTATCTTGGAAAACGAAGCGTGCGCGCCCTGTGCGCCAGTCTCGGAGGCGATAAGGTGTAGAACGCAAGGCGACGGGTAGGTGCCACAACCCTGTCCTCTTAGCAAAGCGTTGGAAACACTTGCCTTTTCGCGCAAGCGTTGCATGGTCAGCGCAACGTGATAAACCCTACGGTCCTTAAAATTACTTATGTATGCCTTTTTCTAGTAAGAGACACACATACAGAAGATTGACGTGTTGTTCTGGTGCCTCAGATATGCGCAATAATTGCTTTTTATTTGAAAATCGCACAAGTATGAATGCTGAATTTTGAGCAATATTGGGGGGTGCTGCGGATGGGGTCGGCCGTTTAGAGTATCGTTTGGCCACTTTGGTGCCGTTAAGGGCGGACAAAGAGACAAACGTAGACACAGACAGACCACAATTTTTGCGTCGAAGGTCCCCAAGAAAGACTATCGTCTTTAAAAGAAAAGCCTATTAGTGACTATAACTAAGATCCCACCACCTAGCGGCCGCGCCTGCAAACGGCGCTAACAGGGTCAACCTTGAAAGGAGATATGTCGCCACGTTGCGCGCGTTCAGAAGCGGCCGCCTAGTTCCATTATTTTCGCCATGCCACGCACATTATCCCTAAAAAAGAATAAAGCGATGTCCAAAGAACATTGAAGTGTGCTGGAGCGCGTGGCATCATGGTGGAAAGATGGCAACGCATAGTTCTATGATTTCTCGAAGGATGCAGACGATGCGCGACTGGAGAATGGCGCAACTCGGGATTTTGCGAATTGCAAAGAAGGTGACAGATACTGTGGTAGTTTGTTCTAATCAGTTATCTCTCGAAAACCTAGTTCTCCTATGTGAGTACACCATTATTTAGAACGTGTGCATTCTTGTCAATATTCTGAGCTTCCCTATGCGAAGAGTATAGTTTCGTTTATATAAGCAAGCGGTTTAGGAAATTTGTTGTTTCGTTTGTGACCGTATTTTTCGCATATGCTTGTTTTCTGTGCATGTCAACTTAGTTCTGTGCTTGCAGTGGCCTTATCAGCGCAAACTTCTTAATCTCGCTCGTCCAATTAGTATCTGGCTCCCCCGTCGCGTGCTTGCCTTGTCATGGAATCCGCTCTGTTACGTTTACTGACCAGCTGTTATCCTGCCTCGGGACAAGGAGGGAAAAGAGGGGTTAAAGAAATAAATGCATGGTAAGGACGTCTTTGTCGAAATGGATAACAAGTAACAGGCACGTGCAGGACAGGGTCTGGTTCCCCTAGGTGGCGAAACAAAACATGTACCGAGAAGTCTGCTGGTACGCAACAGTGTCTTGGGAATGACTACATCGTCTACACATGCGCAGGACAGGGTCTAGTTTCCCTAGGCGGTGAAACAAAACATGTACCGAGAAGTCTGGTGGTACGCAACAATATGTTGGGAATGACTACTTTGTCTACACATGCGCAGGACAGGGTCTAGTTTCCCTAGGCGGTGAAACAAAACATGTACCGAGAAGTCTGGTGGTACGCAACAATATGTTGGGAATGACTACTTCGTCTACACATGCGCAGGACAGGGTCTAGTTTCCCTAAGCGGCGAAACAAAACATGTACCAAGAAGTCTGCTGTTATACAACAGTGTGTTAGGAATGACTACTTCGTCTACACATGCGCAGGTTTCCCTAGGTGGCGAAACAAAACATGTACCGAGAAGTCTGGCGGTACGCAACAGTGTGTTGGGAATGACTACTTCATCTACACATGTGTAGGACAGGGTCTAGTTTCCCTAGGCGGCGAAACAAAACATGTACTGCGAAGTCTGCTGGTACGCGACAGTATGTTGGGAATGACTACTTCGTCTACAGATGCACTGACCTTCGGCGTCCTCCTCCGAAGATCCGCGCAGTGCGAATGGTCTTGCAGAGCAACGCCGCGTAGCACACGGCGTAGCAGAGGCCCAGAAAGAAGCGCGTGAGCGCGCAGCTCCACGCCGATGGCTTGGCCACGATGACCGGCGTCAGCGCGTACGACATGAGCAGCCCGAGGAGCAGCATGCTGCTGAGCTCTCGTCCCGACGCCTTCACGACGGGAGTGTCGGCGTACGAACGGAACACGAGCGCCACGAACACCACGGCCGCGGCGCCCAGCGCAGCGACGGCCAGAGCAGCGATGGCCCACGGGTCGCCGTAACTGAGGAACTCTTCGGGCAGCGGCAGGCAGCGTGCCTTGGACTCGGGGTCTGGCACAGTCCCCATGGGGCAGTCGCGACAGTGGAATTCGTCCGCCAGGTACTGCACACAAATAGGTATTGACGACGAAGCTGTTTGCTTGAGTTGTGACCGGGGTCCGCGACCGGGGAAAACTCGGCTGAGCTGTGCAAAGCCAAGTGAAAGCATGCAGTACAGCAAGGGTAGTACAGTATAGCACAATACAGTAAATTACATTATGAAGCAAGGGTAGTACATACAACAAGGGGTAGGAGTAGGAAGTGAGGGCAGGGAGGAGGAATGTGAGTGAGGAGGAGGGGCAGATGGCGTAAGCGTGGTATGGTTTAGCCAGGAGTGGGAAAGGAAAGTAAGGGTGATGGTGGAGATGAATGAAAAGAGAAAGGGTGAAGCATGGCTTTACGTTCTGTAGTATAGCCAGAGGGGGAGAAAGGAAGTTGAGAAGGAGGGGAGATTGGAAAGAAATTAGCATAGTAAAGCTTTGTACAGTAAGTTGATGGGAAAGTGAAGTTAGAATGGGTGATGAGAAAGAAAGGAGGAGACGTATAGGTCACCAGCTCCACTGTTACGTCAGTCTTCGCACCACCGTTGTGCAGCTGTTCCAATTTTCTTCGAAGATGTGGCTCAGAAAGGTCCGGAACAAGACTGGTTGGAAGCAACGCGAAACCAAGACTTCGGCGAATGGTCTAGGCGCCCTAGTTGAATAGCGGGTGACCTACACGGGACGTTTTTACAGCTCGACCGAGAGCTTTGATCCTGAAAATGTGGCTTATTGAACATCTTTTTTATGTTGCTCATAGAACAGCTGCACTGTCCGAATTCCCACACTTCCTGGGACGCTGTTTTCATCCCACAGCAAGCACTAGTCAACTATACGCGAATCATTGTTACTCTCCAAGTTCTTCTTTGTGTCGATGTGCAATGCTATAGCAGGTCAGAGGAGGAGGAGAAAATAATTCAAGTAAATTTCCGAATGAGTTAGAGTAAGTTGTCACATCCTCTTAGTGAAGTGGTGGATGATAGCGTACATGTACAGGCTGACTAACACACATAAATTACGACGAGAGGTAATCATATATCCATTCGTAAATCCGCTCTAAATGTTGAAGTAAATATCGAGGTGCGGGTGACACACAAGCTTCCCGTGGAGGTGTTGCCGGAAAAGGTGGTTTCACGGCAGCATGCGTCATACTGCGGTGAAGCATTCTTTTCGAGTAAGTGGCCTTGTGCGTAAAAAAAAAATACGCATTTTCTTTCGTTTTGAATATTTAAAAAATAACTACTAAAATAGCAGAAGGTTAGTAATATCAAATATTATAACAAATGTCAGTTACCCGCTCAAGGCTAAAATATTCGTCGAGAGTTTTGGACGACTATACTACGTTCGTGACATAACGTGCAACGTTATTATAGAAGCTAGCGAGTAGATGCGTTCGCACGAGTGAATAGTTTTTAGGCTGAGTAATGAATGATGTGTCTGTGCCTTCAAAATAAACTACCCCGCTTATCGACGGTGGTCAATAGGTAAATTTGGATTGCTTCCCATCTCCTTGTTTTCGGATCGTAGCCGCCGTGATTAGTTACGGTAGCGCACTGTTAGAACCCGTCCTGGATGCTTCGTTTACAATTACGAAGCCCAAGTCGCCGTCTTACACATTTCGCTGGCCGACGATCTCGCGTAGCTCCCACAGCGTTGCAGTTTATGTACGTCTAGTGGAAGGCAACGCGGTCCTGCCCGAAGCCTGAAAAACAGCTCAAGCTGATCGACAGAGCTCGCAAGGTCGAAAAGGTCCAGAGTTGCCAACAAGAACTTAATTTGAGTGAGTTGGTTTATCGTGGTTGTATTCTAGTCGACAATGGTATACGAAAATGTATACAGTATGGACAGAATTACTGTCCATTTTGTCGCCACGCCGCGGTGGTATAGTGACCGAGGTAATTGGCTGCTGACCCGTAGGTCGCGGGATCGAATCCCGACTACGGCGGCAGCATTTTCGATGGAGGCGAAAATGCAGGTGGTCGAAATTTCCGGAGCCCCTCCACTACGGCGTCACTCATAATCATATGGTGGTTTTTGGGACGTTAAATCCCCCACATCAATCAATCAACCAATCAATAAATGTCCATTTTGTCTCTTCCTACCGTTGTCGTGCTGTTGCTACAATACAACCGAAGTTTCCAGATGCTGCCAAGCTAACAAGCAAATAATCTTTACACATCCCGCCCCCCGCCCAAAAAAAAGCGGTACGAGTTTCGCGAAGGCCAAAGAAGCAAAAATGTAATAAGTTTTCCCATTCTTCAAAAATACTTTTTTAATTGTATCAAGTAAATGTGACTCAAGTACGAAGGGCAATCGAAAAATCACTTGAGTTATGTTGTACAACGAGAATATGTGCAATTATGAACGGCAGCACACGTTTACTTTTTAACATCGTATCCACGGCAGTCTATAATCTGTGTAGGCACGCTTTCAAGCGCTTGATTAACGTTACTTGTTGATTTCCCAATCGTACGTTTGGTTTCAACACTCAGCTGCTCAGTCATTAATAACGCGCTATAAGTGGACGACAAACGCGCTATTGCTGAACGCGATGATCACGAAAATAACCATTTTTGCTTGGAAAGAGCGAATTAAAACAAAAAATAAACACAAGCGACTTGAAAGTTCTACATGCTACACGGCGAAAAAAGAAAGCCCAAGTCTGCATATTGTAAGCAGAACTGGCAACTCTGCAGATGCCGCATGGTTCTTGAACTGAGGGCTTCCCCTTCGCCGGGAATAAATGAATAAAACATCTGGTGCAGGAAATGTAGATTTTCTGTACTGGCAAAGAAAGAAGAAAGAAAGAAAGAAAGAAGGAAGGAAGAAAGGAAGGAAAGAAGGAAGGAAAGAAAGAGGACTGGGCGTATCCCTATTCTGGGACTACGTTGGATTGAGCTGCAATTTGCGCCCACTCCACGAGTCTCCGCTGGTCCTCGAGAGAATTCCCTTGCCAGAATAATTTTTAAAAAGTATAGTCTTTCTTGGGATGCTATAATGGAGAAGTATTGGTCCATCTGTCTTTCCGTCTGTCTGTCACACGATTCGGCCAACCGGTTAAAGTTTAATCACTTGCTGAAAGCGCAGCCATCTTGAACTGGTGGCTGTGTTCATGCTTGTGAACATTGTCGAATAAACAAAACAAGTAATACGCGTATCTGAGGCGCAAAATCAATACGTAGGTATTAGGTAGTGTGTTCCTTTTCTAGAAAATGCAAAGATACGTAATTCTGAAGAACATATTGCTTCTTACGCTGCGCTGAATATGCGACACTATGCATGAAAAGGCACTCTGCCGACGGTATGGTACTGCTATCTGGCAGTGGCCTTGGGTTCTGCGCAAGCTCATGTTACTCGACAGGCACTGCCAGATGGCGCCAATTTTACGCAGCGCCTGCTCTATTTCATCAATGCCAGCCAGGTGCGGCCGATTCAACACAGAGAATGCGCTGTCTGAGGCATCACGGGTGGCCGCGGATGCGACCAGGATCATTATGGAAGATAGAAGTGGGACACAGTACGTAACATGGACAGGAGGAGAGAACAACAACCCAAGCGTGCCACCAGGACTATAGTGTAGTATGGCCGGCAGAAAAAACTATCTTTGGGTGACACTTGCAGCGAAGCGCGCAGATGCGTGGCCAATCTTTTATGCGTTACACCTCCCCGCGTAATGACAGGCTCTGTGTAGACCATATTGACCGAAACGGAGCATGGGATGTACCTGGTACTGCGAGCAGTTGCTGCACAGCCAGCAGCAGGTGTCTCCTTCGAGCTGTAGTTTAGCCTGTCCTCGGCGACAAGGGGCGCTGCAGAAGGAGTGCGGGAATCGTGGTTCATCCGCTTTGAAGCGAAGCGTCTCCAGGTTCAGGTCCAGCTTGGCCTCGCCATCGTCACCAACTGCGTGAAAACAACGCCCCGCCGTGGTGGTCTAGTGGCTAAGGTACTCGGCTGCTGACCCGCAGGTCGCGGGTTCGAATCCCGGCTGCGGTGGCTGCATTTCCGATAAGGGCGGAAATGTTGTAGGCCCGTGTGCTCAGATTTGGGTGCACGTTAAAGAACCGCAGGGGGTCGAAATTTCCGGAGCCCTCCACTACGGCGTCTCCCATAATCATATGGTGGTTTTGGGACGTTAAACCCCACAAATCAATCAATGCATGAAAGCAAGCCCGAGACACACCTTGAACGCTCTCGGTCACTTTATTTCTGTGCATTCCACGTCTCCAAAATGAGTCACGTGGTCGGATACTGCGTAGATCATAGCTTCGAGATACGAGAAATCGTGTTCAAGGCTGACGTATTTCATTTCTTTTTTTTTTTTTCGAAAATAATCCGTGATAGGAGCCGATTACTTAACGTCTCTTTTTTTTCTCGGGTAGAATGGTCAGCCCTTGATTGTTTTTATAGTTTTATAGGTATTCGCGACACTGATTGTGAATAAATTATGCCTCTGTTTGAAGTAGTTTTCATAACTGGCAATACACCTTCTTGTAAAGTCTTTTTTTTTTTTATGGAGACTTGCCTACCAATCTGTCATCAGGGACGATGTTGGGTGATTCCACGAAGAATAAAACATGCTTGTTTGATGAATATTCTTTCTTTGTCTGGTTTATTACTATGCTGTGTGCGCACATTCAAGGTGCACAAAACCGATGTCATTTTTTAATTTTTTTAATCGAAAAGTGCTCGTGTCTGTCGGGACGCGGTTTTAATATTAAATGGTCTTCATTTGCTTTATTCACTATATATAAGTGGCCGAAATGGCCCAGGCTGTGCGTGCTCACTATGACCCATTTGCTGGTTATTATAAACTTGCATTGTGGGGAACTGTAGTTTCAATTAATTTGCTGCAGAAAAACTTCGACTTCACTCTGGTGCCTTGTCAATCAGGAAAAACGTATTATCTGCTTTCACTTGTTTCTAGCGAGTTGCTGAACAATGAAAATGATTGATTGATATGTGGGGTTTAACGTCCCAAAACCACCATATGATTATGAGAGACGCCGTAGTGGAGGGCTCCGGAAATTTCGACCACCTGGGGTTCTTTAACGTGCGCCCAAATCTGAGCACACGGGCCTACAACATTTCCGCCTCCATCGGAAATGCAGCCGCCGCAGCCGGGATTTGAACCCGCGACCTGCGGGTCAGTAGCCGAGTACCTTAGCCACTAGACCACCGCGGCGGGGCTGAACAATGAAAATGAGGAAGTATAAATTTGGTCAGAGCTTTAGGCGGTTGTTTTTTATTGTTTTTTGAAAAGGAGCCTTTTCAAGATAAAAGAAACTCGCTTGTTTAACTTTTATTTCTTCTGCGTGGCCTGTAGAAAAATGATCTTTTGAAGAAATGTTTTAATGTCTTTGCTGTAATTTGACAGTTTTTTTTTAAGTTTTTCTGTCAAATAGTAAAGGCGCCAACATGCATCGAAGTAGCAAAGCATTTTTTTCAAATTTGGGCGCCGTTTTTTTTAATTCTTTATCTTTTGATGACAGCATAACGAAATCGTGGATATATTTGGCAGTGTTGCTTACTAAAAGCAGTAGTAAAAATTTTCTAAACTGCGTTTATGGATCGCTCTAAATCCGGCCGTAAAATCGGAAAATATTGTCGTGGGCAAAAACTTGACCCCCGCGATGCCACCTTTTTTTTTTTTTCAGTACTGGGAGCATTTTTGGAGGGATTTACATTTTCGGTTTTTTGCTCTTTGGATGTGCCCACAGAACGTATAAAAAACCAGGCAGAATAAATATATTATCCGGACATGCATGTTCGATATCTCGTGGAATCATCCTGTATAATCAGTCTTCGCGATGTTAAGTTAGTTGAAGCTGCTCATCAGTTTCTTTCTTTTTCGGAAGACCTATTGTAGATGTAGAGAAAGAGAAGTACTCACGCGAGTAGCTGCCCACGTTCCTCCAGGCGTACGGAGGCCGTCCATCGTCGGCAGCACCGCTGTCGTTATCCAGACGCTGGAAGTTGAGGATGCTGTAGCGTGGAGGCGCATCTCCACTCGGTAGGAACCGGAATGTCTTGCCTCCTTCGTCTGCGGTCACGTGACTCGTTATTGTGCTTTATTATCAATACGAGTTGAAAGCAGAGAGCACATGCATGCAACAATCCGCGCTGGGCACACTTAGGAGCATGACATGCCGGTACTGTGGGACCCACACATCTTGTGTAATTACAACCAAGCTGCCAATGTGTGTCGGCTATGCAGAGCAATCCTTCCCTAATATCTCTATATTCTCGTCGGAATATGGCGTCTGTTTTTTTTTTTCAAAAACTAGCTATATCCTGAAACGAACTTATCTCTCAGCCTCAACACATATCGCCTCGAATCTAGCATCGTTACACGGTAGGCCTTCACATTAAAATATTCTTTCGGCCATTTATTTTGGAATCACCCTTTGAATGAAACCACCTTCCTGATCATATCGTATGAGTTCATGGTAATAGTTTGTTTAGAAACCACCTTCCTGATTTTATCGCATAAGTTCGTGGTAATCATTTGTTTAGAGCAGCTTCAACTATTTTTTATAAACGGATTCTTCTCTTTTTGTTTTCACTTTGCTTGTGTAACGCGATCGCAAGTGGTCATCCAGGACTAAATTTTTTTATTACGTACATGTTTGTATCTTTGGTGTATATTTTATTTTTTTATTTTTTATCATTTTTAACGCGTTATGAGCCTTTGCTGACTCTAGCTGTACATGCAGTCGCAAGCCTTTGTACTAAGAAGTTATATTTGTTTTGTTTTGTTTTGTTTGTTATTCCATCCTTTGGTATAGCCACTCCCCTTTTTAATGCCTTTAATCCCGGCTGTGGCGGCTGCATTTCCGATGGAGGCGGAAATGTTGTAGGCCCGTGTACTCAGATTTGGGTGCACGTTAAAGAACCCCAGGGGGTCAAAATTTTCGGAGCCCTCCACTACGGCGTCTCTCGTAATCAAATAGTGGTTTTGGGACGTTAAACCCCACAAATCAATCAATCAATCAATCAATCAATTTTTAATGCCTTTGGTTCAGAGGGTCGTAATAGACAAAGACAAATACATAAACGAATGTATATCTAACGACGTCCCACCTTTGAAGGATACCTTTTCGAGGTACCGCTTCAGCGCATCGCCCTGCATCTCCCGCGCCATGGCGGCGCACAGGCCCTGGTGCTGCGAGCCGCACCGGTCGCGTTGCATGTCGTGTAGCGCGTGCGCGAACGCGTACGCCGCATCGCGCACGAACTGTAAGCCGCGGTAGCCCGGTCGAAGGCGCTTGCCGCCGCTGGGGCACCACAGCCTGAAGTGGTTGTTGAAGGGGGTCTCCTGCACGGCGCACCTCGTCAGTCACTGCCTCGCCTTGCCTCGCCGTATAACTATTGGCGGGAGTATCACATAGGGAAATGAATTGCTTTTGCCCTGGAAAGCCGCACAAGTAGTGAACTATCCATCTAGCTTTACGTGTGACTAGAAGCCTTACAAAGAATTAGGTGCTTATAGATTCAGCTTCAGGCCTACTTTGCCGCTGTCCACGTCACTGTTGTGGTACGTGGCTGCTTCAAATCATGTTTAAACTTCAGTCTCCGTCTTCAAACTGCTTTTGCTCTCACTTTCGACAGTTATTATAAGGTGGTACTACATAGAATAAACTCAAAAGTATACGAGCACTTAACTAAACAAAGACTGCAACGATACAAGGACAAATGCATATGAAAACACTTTTGCTTGTCTTCTCGTAATCTTTTTGTTACGCACTCACGTTTTTAAGTAACATGAGTCACCAACACGTCCAGTCAGCTATTTTGTATATTACCGTGTACCTTGGCTCACTGCAGCCGGGAAGCATGAACCGTGCACGCAAAAGGCACTTGTAGACTCCTATCTACTCAACTTCAGCATTAAAATTAACCATATGTCACCTCATGAATCTACTCGTGTGTAATTAAATCTACTCACAAAAAGTTGTGCGCAAGAGCGATCGTATACGGCAACTAAATATTTATACACCAGAGTCATTAGTTTTGACACCCCAACACTACGAATGTCTTCCCAGAAACTTCTTGGTAAAACTACCTAGCATGAGTCATCTCTTTCAATGGAAATGTAGTTATTTGATGTCAACCACTGATAACTTGAAATTGAAGGTACGATACAAGATATCCGTAAAAGAAAACATGCATAATTAAGGCATTGGCACCATGGTCGAAAAAAACAATTTGTCGCTAACAGGCTCATGAGTTGGCTCACCCACACTCGCATCACGCCGTAAGTTTGAATCCAAGTGAGTTTTTTTTTTTTTTTTGCGAGTTTGAGTCGTAGTGAGTCCGGTCGACAAAAGAAGTTAAGTGTGGCCGAGTGAGCCTATGAGGAAAAAAAAAACATATCTCATGGGTGACTCTGAGTGAACTCTACATTTCTTGCCGACCTGTGCTTATACGTCACACTTGGCGCTAGCTACGAAATACAAATCGACAGGCCGACCTGGAAGTCCGGCAGTCGGCACTGGAACTTCGCCTCCCAGTACTCCGGGAACCACGGGTTGAGCGCGTTGTTGTCGGGCGTCAGCTGACTGAAGTGTCGGTCGAAGCCGCTCAGCTCCTGCACCATGGGCGACACGGTGATGGCTCCTTCGACCACTTCCTCGTGTCCCTCGGCGACGCTCTCGAGGCCGCTCCAGGCGTCCGAGCCGATCCACACGAAGCGCGCCCGACGGCGCCACGCGGCTCGCATCAGGCTCCGCGCGGCGCCCTTGTCGGCGAACACCACCACCACCCGGGCGCTGCTGCGGTGCGTCAGGCTGCGGATCACCGCGTCGTAGTCCGGATCCGTGTAGTGGTCCGCCGCGATGCTCTGCGAAAGGGGCACGTTCGGGGAAAAACTCCCAAGCATTTCCCCGAGGGTGAACATGGTTAAGTGCGAATGCACGGGGTGATGCTATGAGGGGTATTTATTAATTCGCACTATTATATTTATTAATCACACTATGGTGCCTTTATGGTGTAATGGTTCCTGGGAATCGCAGTTTGATCACACGGGGGAGTTTACGTTAACTCACTGGCGAATGCCAACGGATTTTAACTTTACTCCCCCTCACGACCCGCTCTCGACGGAAGACTGAGAGAGAAGGCGGGCGCGCGAGAGAGAGGGGTGCGCGCGCAGCAGCAGCGAGCGAGGAGAGCGGAGGAGCGACACCGATATCAGCGTCGCGTCCGTGGCTTATTCGGTAGAGCGTCGCGCTGCGGCCCGCCAAGTCCTCTTTCTTTTAAAGATAGAGAGAAGACTGCGGACGCCGCCGACGGCGGTGGATGGTTTGGGGTCGCTTATTAAGTGTATTCACACTTAAAATTCACAGCGTATCTGCGTGTTTCGCTGCAAATGTCGAAAGACGATAATATTCTGCCGGCCTTTTTTCGTGCATAGCGTCGCATTTTCAGCGCAGACTAAGGAGCCCTAGAGTTTTTAGAATGGGGTAGCTATATATATTCTAGTAAAGGAACACACCGCCTAATACTTAAGTATTCACGTTCTGCCTCAGCTATGCGTACTATTTGCTTTTTGACAGACAATGTTCACAAGTATAAACACAGCCACCAGTTCAAGATGGCTGGGCTTTGATCAAGTGGTTACACTTTCGCTAGTTGGCTGAATTATGTGACAAACAAAAAGACAAACAGACAAGCCAAAATTGCTGCGTTAAAGTATCCAAAGAAAGAATGTCGTCTTAAAGAAAGAAAAGAAGGTAGCTTACACTAAGCCACGCAAGGCTTGATGCAGCAAACCTGGACAATTTTTGAAGACCAGTCTTGTTGCATCTTGTTTCTGCAGCCTTGGCTAGTTGACTCAGGTTATTTCTAGGTTGTTTCTAGGTCGTTGTTAGGCTTAAGCTAGATGTGATGCTAGGTTATTTTATACGGCGATTCTCAGCGCATTGAGGCTCGAGGTCACAGACACGACTTTGGTACCTCGTCGTTGGCGTAGGCTTTCCAAAGCTTCAGGGTCTGCTTGCAGCCGCCGTTGCCTTTCCTGATCGCTATTATTCTATCGTTTGACGTTATCGCGAGTATATCGACGTAGAAAAATACTCCTTTTGCTCTCGAGTGATCTTTGGGAACAGCATACGGGACTGTGTGACATGTTTTTTTTTTTTTTTTACATCAACTGTAAACAGGGAATCTCAGTCCTCGGAAGTGCCCATCATTTTAAGGTTTCTCAGAAACAAAACAAGATAACGGTACAATATGAGGTCCTTTGCATGGAGTACGGTTTCGGTTCTTTCAACTATCACTGGGTCAGCAGAACCGATTGGTGCATACTACGGTTTTATGGCAGTTGCAGCAGAGTCAGCTTATAACCATGTCCGAGAGAACGTTCACATGCGTCTGCGTCTACCTCTGAAAGCTGAAAGAAATAGAAGTCTAAGGATGGTAATAATAATCGTTGTGGCTTCACGTCCCAAAACCACGATGTGATTATGAGGGACGCTGTAGTGGAGGTTCCGAAAATTTCGATCACCTATCTTTTTTTGTTATATTTATTTAGCCGTGCGCATAAATATAAGCCCACGATCTTATACAATTTTGCCTTCATCAAAATTTGACCACCGCAGCAGGGTTTCGATCTGGAGACCTTCGGGTCTCGAGACCACTGGACTTCGATAGTTTCGGGACATAAAATCTCAGATATTTTATTTGTCTTCAATGGCCCGCCACTGTGCATGGTCTAGTGGTCATGGTGCTGCAGGAATCCAGGTTTCGGCGCTTGAATTTCTTGTGATGATGCCTTGCCAATAAGCTCAAGTTCATACCCTTTTAAACCAATAAACCACCACGGCGCGTGAACTAGAAGTTTGTTCGAGGATACTGACGCAGTAGGCTTCTAGAGACGAACCTGGGGATTGGAGAGGCATATGCGGTACCGGGCAGCCAGCTCCTGCAGCTTGTCATATCCCTTGTTCCCGTAGTCGGTGTCCGAGTAGACCACCGACACGTACGTCCAGTGGAAGGCACGCAGGAGCTCCAGGATGGCGTGCGCCTGGTTCACGTCGGACGGCACCGTCCGGAAGAAGTAACCGAACCGGTGCTTGTTGCTCAGCGTCGGGCTTGTCGACTGGTAGCTCACCTGAGCGGCACGTCCGAAGAACTCAGCAGTCGGTTTCACTGAGGAGGTTTTATACACTTACGCGCATTTTTGAGGTCTTATACACTCTTATGATGCATAGGTTCTTATACAACCTATATACATTTTCATTCATCATTCACCAACTATTGTCTTAGCGCTCTTCCCTACCACTACATCACTTTTGCACCGCAAACCACCATATATCATCATCATCATCATCATCATCATCATCATCATCATCATCATCATCATCATCATCATCACTGACAGAGTGAGCACACGTCAGGTGTTGCAGCATTCTTTGTTTCTCTGTGAGATAATGCAATAATCGCCGATAGCAGGGCAGCAGAAGCTAAGTGATGAGTGAAGAGTTGCAGTGTTTTGGAGTGATTAAGATAGTGTTAATTGTGTAAGTCCCTCACGGTGGAGCTCTTTCAGATCAGGTACAGGCCGTCCAAAAAACCATACGGTGGCAAAGTTAAACCTTACTGTCCCAACGAGGGAGGCACCTGCGTCAACCTAAGAGTTGATCCATAGAACCTGGATAAAGTTTAACATACCGTACCATACCGTGAATCCGTGGCAAAGTGAACGTCACTGGAGATTTCAGAGTAAAAATTTGGCTCTAAACCTGGACCGATAAAGCGGCCTAGACGCTGGTTGCGTGAGAATGAAGGCGAGGTACGTAGTCGCATGTCGAGTACGTACTTGGAGCTGTAGCCCGACTTTTTAGTGCTATATATGGGTGGGCTCTCACCTGTGGCACGCGAAACAACCTGAGCAAGTTCGCCAGTTGTATGGAGACTGCGCTGGATTGTCCGCCGATGACGCCGACGACGCGGTCGAAGGCTCCGTGCCGGTACGCCGGAGACGAGCCATCTGCGCACGCGAAGCCAACGCTGCTTCGCGCGATGAAACCCTGCGAGGAGAATGTGGCGCAATGCTTACAGTAATTCCCTGGATAAAGTGCAGTCTTTAAACAACGGCCGCTAAGTAACACTACGAAGCATTGCTTCTCCTGGCTAAATATATCTACGTGGTTGTATTACCATGATTAGAGATGATTGGTGCGTCTTTGAACGCTCTTAGATCTTTTCATGGGTCTACAGTCACTGTTCAGCATGCAACTCTACTGGAAGGTTACGTTTGACATGCGGCTAATGATATGGTCAAACGCGTGGATATATCCGTTTCTGTTCTGCATGTTTCGTAGCAGTTTCCAGCGAGGTTTGCCTATAATGAAGCCTTACGCAAAGCCAGTGAGCACTTACCTCATTTACTGCTTTTTTCTTATCTCCGAAGACCAGACACACCTTAGTTTGTTTGTGCAGGATTGTGCAAAAAAGGGTCAAGTTTTGCCCCTATACCCCACCCTTCAAGAAAAACCATGTTTGTCATGGAGGCAAAAATGAAGCGACGACGTGTTGCCAACAACGAGGTAAAGGTGTGAGACATCGTTTGTGGAGTACAGCATTAGGGGTCCTCGGCCGCCATTACTGTCAACAACCTGCGAGAGTGGGAGTGATTTGAGATAGAAAAAAAATAAAAGGACACTGTTTTCGGCCTTCCATAGGGCACGGCTGAGTGCTTTAGGGATGGGAAACGGGTAAGTATATAGTTGATAGAAAGAAGGAGAGAAGATATCTAGAAGGTGTGAGTAGGTGACAAGAGAGTATCTCGTCAGTCCAGGCAGGGACCCGTAACCATGGACACCAGCAGCATTTTGTCTGCAAGGAAAGGGGGGGGGGCTGTAACACCGTCTTGCGACGCAATGTGGAGGGGGTGTGAAGCGCTGGCGTGACTTGGCCTAGAGGGAAGTGTTGGTGCTGCTTGGAAACAGGGCAGGAGGGCATGCACACCCATTACACCCCCCAGCCGGCGCTCATAGCCATAACTCTGCACTTTGAATAATGACAGGACATGTTCCTTATGTGGTGGACATGGCGCCCTCCTCAGATGATTACGGGAGGGCCTGATCCCTGTGCGGGTGCTCACCTTGACGAAGTCCAGGGACTGCTCGAGAGCGTACTCGGTGGAGTCGCACGAGTCGAGCGCGAGCACGCCCAGCGACACGCCGGGCAGCAGCGCCGAGTCGTTGTTGATCTTGTGCAGCGTGAAGAGCAGCGCCTCGAGCTGCTCGACGCCTTCGTCCTGGATGCGGCCGCACTCGTACGTGGCGTTGCGCTCGTGCACGGGGAACAGCGCGCCCAGCAGGATGTCGCCGCTGAAGTTTGTCATGCGCTGAATGGGCCAGCCCGCCACGCCGCCGCTGCCACCCGAACACACGGGACGCCACGCCAGCGCGGCGGTAGCTGTGCACACGCGGGAGATGATCATCAATACCGACTCTTTAAACACCATATCTATTATAAGTGATTACAATTTACAGGTATAGCTTATACGTATACTGGCTACAGTGATAGTGTCACAAAACGAGCGCTCAAAAAGGGCGCGCCGCCAAAGTCTAGCGATGAAGCGCCAGAGTGACGCCGCGAGGTCAACGATAAAAAAAAAAAGAAAACTAACATCCAGAGACCCCCGGGCGCGCGCCTCTCCTCTCGGAAGCGTAGGTTCGCCGACGAACCTCCTCACCCCACATCGGCGGCCGAGCAAGCACTCGAAATTTCTAGATGGAAAGGGGCGTGGTGATGCCGGGTAGAGTCATCCGTCGCGGACGGCCCTCGTATCGTCTCGACCTTTCCCCCAGCCTTCGCTGCGCATCGCGCCGACGAACTGATGAGAACTTTCTGGAATCTCGCGCGGAAGGTATTTAACCGAGCAGCGGAGATGGGAGATCAGCAGAAGACGGAAGTTAGCGCCAGAGCGCGTAGGGTATACCGCCCTGTAGTCGGCGAAGGTTTTGTCCGTAGAGACAAAGCAGGAGAAGATGATTTCCACCTGAGGGGTGACGACTCGAGCTACAGGCAAGAGTGTGTGTTTACCGCTATCGAGCGAAGACGCGTGGCAACAGCTGCGTGTGTGAAGCCGACGTGTTTCCGGCGAAGAAGTTTGAAGCTTGGAGAGTGGCCAATTGAAGACGCGAGGTTTCCTGGAAGAGAAACATCGGGGGCAGCGAAACGACAACAACGCTGGACTTTGAGTGAGTGATTCTCGGAAGAGTATCATCCAGACTTTTGTTCCAAGAACTTTGGACTGAATAGGTTTTCTATCTCTTTAGTCTTTAAGTGTCTTGGTTGTTCAATGCATGCGACTGCATTGTAGTGCGTATTGTTGTCTGTGTCCGTTGTTTCGAGTGTGGCTGATTGTACTGTGTAGTACGTTGTTTGATTGGTGACATATTGTACTCAACTATTGTGGAGTGTGCATACTTGTGTATTGTTTTCGATCTGCCATTATTGAGAATATAATTTTGTTTGTTTATCAACTCTCGACTCTGACTTGTTCTTTGGGCCACAGCCGGCGTCCGCTGGCGCGCCAAAAAGGACCACTTCTAAATGGTCCACGCTTTCGTGGTGCGGTTCGGGGGGCCGATACTTCGGCCCTTGGAATTAGCCCGGCGATCGCCTCCCTAATAACGGGATTTGTGACAGATAGCAATTCTATCCTATGACGTTTAGCTCCATGGCACAGAAAGATATTATTACTCTGTTGACATGACAACGCTGGCGTGCATAGAGGGAGAGATGGAATACAAGAAAGGTAGGGTGGTTACATGGTAATAAGGGCTGCAGCGCGAGCACGAATGTGCTTGAAGAAACAGACGAAAGTCGAGGCACGGAAAGCAAAGAGGGCAACACGAGCGCTGCAGGGTGGTTAGCTAGACTATGTCCTGTTTGCTACCCTTCGCACGGAAAGGAGAACGAGGGAGTAAAGGGTGCGGAAAAGCGAGAGAGAAATAGAGAAAGAGAGAGAAAGAGAGAGAGGTGGAGACACTCTGCACGCCACATGCCTAGAGCAAGGATTTCCCAGGAGGTCGGTCAGTGATGTTTCCTTCAAGTACTGCAAGAGGGCTTGTGTGGCTTTCTGCACTGATGATCTGTGAGGCATAAATGACTGAATACATCAATTTCTGATTGTCTCAGTCTGCACTTGCGGATGAAGTGACATTCGTGTTTCTTGCTTTTCTTGTAATACATTCGCCCCCTTATTCTGTGTATGTTGACAAACTGGGCATCACTTTCCCCACCCCAAATTTTCTTTGAGGGGCGAAGCTCCTTAGGGTGTGGGTCAATTCCTCGTAGTATGTTGTAGTAGCCACTTCTCGTTAGCTTTAAGAATTGCTCACTAGACGGAGTTGTGTGTATATGTTCTTGCAAATATCCCTAGATGTCGTTAGTAATAAATTCACAGCATATCCACAGAGTCAATGATGATATGGGAGCGGACAGAGGCACGGAAAGAGACGAACCGTGCGGACGGACGCTTTGCCCCGCTCATCATCATTCACTCCGTGGATATGCTGTGAATATTTTTTCCTTAGCTCCCTCCTTTTCTTCATCGTTCGAGCTCCTTCCTGTGGAGTCTGATGGGCCGTAACCGAAGAGATAGTAGTGTACCTATTGCGCAGTAAGTGACGCAATACGAAGGTGCCTGAGGTCTACGGGCGCGACGGCGTAACTGTTACTGATATCACTCAATGCTGCCAGGAAAAAATATTGCGTCAATAGCGCAACCGTAACGCTATCATCGGTAGATGGCGTTTCCCGGTCAACCCTCCCCCTATGCGGAAAGTCTTTGGTATCATGCTTTGGCCTGCCAAATGTTTGTGACGTTTGCACCTCGCATAAAACAACGTTTACCTCCATCCGTCTGCTTCGCCTTACCCTCTGGTCCAATTCTCAGCGTTTAATATTTTTTCTTTGAGTTGAGCATGCATGCGTATAGCGCTGTGGTGCAACAAGATCCTGCATGCTTAATAGTTTACTGATTTATAAAGCTATGACCAAGGAGCCAAGCCAGCGGACATTTCTTTTCTGTGGGGAAGGGAGGGAGGGGGAGGGGTAGTTGCCTTTTTAAACGGAGCAAGGAAATGCAAATGAAGTTGTAGCATCAGACATAAACCTTTCAGTATAACATTATATGAACTTGGAGGTGAGTTAACTTGTTCTGTGACTGACGATCTCAAGATGATGTATGTGTTTTAGCACCGTAAAAAGATTTGGGTACGTTGGCACCACTATAATAACCAAGAGTGGTGGAGGGCCTCGATTCCCTCCACCCCCCAAAAAATTCTATCTTCCATGTGTTCAAATACGCGCCAAGAAAGTTAAAACGCGTTCACGATCAGACACAAAACATGATTACCCTCCACCAACTCTCACCCCCTCTCCATTACTTCTGGCTATGCTTGGCACACACGCTGTCGGGAAAGTATGAGCATAGTCGCACGTGCACCTTTTAGGGTGGGAGAACGAGATTATTTTTCTAATACAGAATTTGTGTCACGAAACTACACAATTTTTTCTTTCTCCGGCAAGATGAGTGACCAGGCTAGTTGGTATTCCATGGCGACGTGAACACGGACATGGAACCGACGAGGACTACCGCTGACTTCCCACAGAAATTTACTAACGCAAACACTGGTGTACGTGTTAATGAATTAACACCAGCTTTATTTCTCACCGGCGTCCCACTTAGAGCTGGCTCCGTCACCATACTGACCCCGCGGTTTCGTCTAGCAAACAGCGTGGTATACGGCGGGCGTCATTATTTTCGAGGCGACTTGCGCGACGACAGCCTTCGCGATTGTGCGCCTCGGCAGGGACGATCGACGGCGTGCAGCCCGCTGCTAGCGCTTCCAAGGGAACCGAGCGCGTTGCGTAGCCTCCGCAGTCGTGCAGGGAACTGCCCAAGTGGCGCCCATTGCGGCCCATCGGTGGCACGAATCAGATTTCCGCCCTGGTGAAACACGATTGCCCCCGCACCGAGAGCGAGGGACAGGCGGCCTGCGCGCCCTCCCCGGGTGCCCGAAGTAATTGCGTGGCCGCACACTGAGAATCGCTCGTCAGATTCCCGACCAAAAGCGTGGCACGCGGAGCATATATACTGCGCCGTAACCAACACCGTGCTTGGGAGATGCGCGTGGATGTCTTTGTGTGTCCGTGTCTGTCTGCCACTCCAGTGCACGCCGCTATACGTCTAGTTCGTCAGCAAGATCAAGATGGGGATCCCCTCGAATAAGTTCAGCGACGCGTCACTGCAGTATTATCACGACCCAGCGTCCTTACTTCCAGCTGAGCCTTAGAGGCTGCTGACAAGGATACATGGTGGTCGAATACAGCTGGCGCTCACTGTTACGTAGATGCCAGTGTCAGATTAAAGTGATGTTAGGCAGTGCACCAGAGTTAACACCCTCGTGTGTTGACTGTTGTAACCCGTACACGAAACAGTATATAGTCGCTAAGCTCTGTTAATCCACCAACGTGTTTTCGCGCCTAGAGATCTTTTATGGTGGGCTTGTAGGTCAAGGACTGGTGACTTTCTAAGAAATTTGATCGATTTCCACATTAAAAACAAGCTCGTAGGGGCACTGAAGAGAAGCTATTCATGTACTACAACTGCTGCACGTCTTCGCCTCAGGATCTGTTCCGATATTTCGCTATCAAGCAGACGATTAGCGCACGTTTATACACCGCAGTATACAGAACCCAAACACATTTTTTAAGCGTTTTGTTGTTTCTCGTTCATGTAGGTTGCGCTTTATATTTTTTTGGTTGCCACGTCTTTGAGAGGCGCGACCACCTTCTGAAGCATTCCATGTGTATTACGAGCGCCATGTTTTGAAATTTAAAGCGTTATAAGTTCGTCACTGTTAACTTTATATTTAGTCGTATGGTCACGGCGTTAACTCTTTGAGCCTCTGACCTTTCCATTCTCCATTTCTGACACTGCTTTCAAGTACCATAGTTCCGTTTGGGCAACTGCTTTCAAAGATGCTTAAAAGCCTTCCCCAGCTACTTCGTGCTTTGAAGTCTGTGGAAGACAACAGCTCTCGCCAAATGCTTGCTGCACCACGCGCATGACACTGATGGGGCTCTTCTCGGGTGCCTTGGTGCCAGAAATAAACATCCCGAGTGCCCTTGTACGCACTGCTGGTCTCCTTAAATTGCTGACCTTCCCGAAACCGTGCGCTAATCGCGATGGAACTAACGGTTGTCCCGAAACACACCGCAGTGGCCGTGGATCGCCGCGGCCGAGCGTGTTTCCCTATTACTCTCGGGACTGACGACAGCGTCAGCTGGTGAACGCGTAAACAAGCGTACTTCCAAGTGTGACGCTACGGGCTCACCGCGGGTGGCTTCATCGGCGCGTGATTGCCGATCGTTGCGGGCGAGAGGGGCCCTGCTGCCTTCGCAACTCGGGGTGGTTTCCCGGAAGCGGAAACACCGCGCATTGCATTGGCTTCTGCTCCCAGCGTCACCCCTATTCCCCAGAGAAGTGCGGAGATGAAGGGCCTCCTTGGGGCGTATCCGGCCAGGCCATAGAGGGAGGCCTCACGTGTGGATTGCTCATTAAGGGTCTGATTGCTGACCGGATGCAAGATGGGGAGTTCTTTGAGAAATGGTTGACGTCGTCGGGAATGTACTACGTCACTGCCGCTTGTAGATATTGAAAGAACGTGCGCTTAGGAAGAAAGATGCTTGGGCTAGTTGGTGATTGGGAATCAACATATTTGCACAGCGCAAGACTACGAGTAGTCACGACGTAACTACAGAAGACGAGACAAGTACAGAAAGAGCACTCTCTCTGTCCTTGTTTCTTCTTTTGTAGTTACGTCATAACTGCTTATATACTTGCGCTGTGCAAATATGTGCTCTTGGAAATGTTGGTATTCGATCTTACCACCAGTAGTGCGCAGAAAGACAATGCGTTTAAGCGCGATGTGGACCCCGCGTCGTTCCTCGTGTTTTGTCATTTGTGGGTGCTGCAGGTGGTATACGACAGCAAGGCATCAGCGTAGCTAAAGGGGAGGGAGCAATATTAGCGAAAGTTTTTCAAATACACATTCAAGTACACGCATGTACTGCATGACTTTTCACATGAAACCATTGAGAAACAAACAAAAATAAAATAAACATAACTGAACACCCTACCCTAACTTCCCCTCCTCTTCGGAAATGTTAAAAAAAACACTATAGCAGGCAGTCGTTATCATCGGTTACCTGTTGTTTATGACAGAACTTATAACAGCCAATACATTAGCTGTAGTTTAACGGGGATGTGTTGTAACAGGTACTAATTGTAAAGTATAGTAGACGTTACTCATCCAGCATCTGTTCTGTAGAGACAAATATGAGTGAGGGAGGATTAAAATGTTAACCGGAATCTGAGCACCTTCAAAACAAAAGGAAACTGTTCGAAACACTGGACAATGACAAAGATGGACCATTCGGCTAGGTGACATCCACCTATAGGCGCACAGCTCCACATGTGGCTCGAATGCTTTATTTGATTAGTGCAGAATACTAAGGCGCTATGGTGACCAAACAGCACGTGAAATATATACTGCATTGACAAAAAAGCTTGTATATATGTGTGTGTATGCCACCGACAACGCTTGTCATCAAGGAAGTTGCGTATCTTTCACCTGGGTGATGGATTTTTTTATTTTCTTAAAATAATATTACGCAGAGTTAACACACACCTTGTCACTCATTCTCCTCTTCCTCACACCCTTTCATAATCTATGGGCGTATATACTTTCTTGTACGAATAAAGCTTTGTTGTGGTACAGTGCCTTGTTCGTCTTTGCCATTGTCCTGTGCTTCGCGCCATTTCCTGTTTTCTTGAACATGTACCAACTGGACTAAATAAGTGTGCACGCTAGTGTAGACAATCTTGTTTGCTACCCTACAGTACAGGGGAACGGGGAAGGGGAAATGTAAATTTTGTACTCGTTATGAGCGCATTCAATACATGAATTGTGATTATTGTTGATTAAAGCGTATGCGTCAGCCTCTGCACCCCAAGTAGAGAGATTTAATGTAGAAAAAATGCAGGAAAAAAAGCATGGTTGGTCCCTTCTTTTTAGGAATCGCTATAACACGAATGTGAAACGTCTCCCTACAGAAGTAGTTTAGTGCTTACTGTACATTGACATAAGAGAGCTTATACAATGTCTGTTGGTGTTCGACAGCTAAATTTAAGCACCGTTTTTCGCAAATTCATCTACGTTGATGCTTAGCAATACATCTCTATCCCGACAACTAACGTAAATGATTAATGTAATGACTGATTAATGATTACATACGCCCTTGTGGTCATGGATGCCTGTGTTATAGCTCTTGTATAGTTATCGGTGAGAGCGGAACCAAAGAAAGTGGTGGGGCAATTAGAAGAGCACGCCTAATAGTACGCCTAATTTGGGCGATTGGCTAAGGTCACTTACTTGCGCCATGTTAGAGCACGGCCAGTTAAAACTCAACAATAATAAATCCAAATGAAGTTACTTTAGCTCTGTGGCTACTTCTACGTGCAAGTCACTGTTTCTCAGTTTTTTTTTTTTTTTGTGCGCATCAGCCCGCGTCGTAACTTACCGGCAGCGAGCACCAGAGCTCGGCAAGTCGGTACCCAGGTTCCGGCAGAACAACACAGGCGTCGCAGCATGCCCTGTTCAGGCCACGTGGCTTCCAAGCCTGCATTCGGGCACTGATTACTCAACGAGTTTAACAATGACGGTTTGCTTTGCATTACATCTTCCAATAACGCTTTAATGCATGCACACGGAAACACCAAGCACAGATCGTGCGTGAGTGTGTTCGTGTGTGTGTGCGTGCGCACGTTCCGTGTGCCTCAACCTATATGCGCTGTAGTTCCATTAAATGTTGTTTCTTCAGTTCAAACGGCAAGCTATTTATATCTACCACTTACCGCTACTGACGGGCATCTCTGGGGGAAGTATCGTGTTTTCAGCAATACCAGCAAGATGGCGCGATGGGCGCGCGTACTTTGCCCCACTGAGGAGGGGTGGGGGCGACGCTCCTTCGCGCGCCCTTATCTCGCGATGAGGAGAATCGCATGCTTTGGCTGGCCTAGGGCTTTACCTTGGAACGTTTCTGTTAGAGTTAATGGGCACACAAAGGTCGCTGCAATCATTACAGTCTCCGTTTTCGAAAAGTGCGCTTTTCAGACACAGCGAAGTAACAACTGAGACGCTTATTCGCGTGCATCTGTACCTGTGAGTACGTTTCGTGCGTCATCTGTGCGTTAGAAACGCGGGGCACGTTTACATCTGATTTCCATTCTGCGCGAGACCTTCCAATTTGTGGCTATCACGTTCATTGCTTCGCCTTCGCGGCAAAGCTGGGACTTTTTTTATTTCGAATGTTTTACAACATCATCCCCTTATCTGTAGCTAGGATCATGGTTTCCACTGAAGCGTCAATTCAGTCTGCTCACGTCTTTGTAGTAAAGGGTCTAATTGTTCTACTTCGATTGTTTGGCTGCGTAACAATAACAGATAGGAAAATAGCGTTACCAAATCGTCAACATGGAGCCATATCACCTTGCCCTGTCGTCTATAAGTGCGAGGCATTTCTTTGCATACTGCAAGCAGTTTTGCCATCTATATATTTATCTATCTAGCCGCCTACGTCTGGGTGCTCTCGTGATCAGCCCCTTAACTTGGGGTAAGCCAAAATTGGTACGTGAGGATAAGATGGTTGGACGAATGTGGCTCGGTGGTAATCACATGAATAATGTCACGATCCTCTCGCGTACGTCTTCAAATACTTTCCGCCAGACACATACCCGTGGGCCGGTATGTGCTAAGGTGACTGACCCTTTATGTTTTCCGAGGAAAGGCTACAACACACATGCGTTGGTAATTTTAACGCGCGAGTGTCAAGAAAAGAGGACGTTGGCTGCGCTAACCCGCCGAATGTAAAGCAAATAATGTCGGGGTTCTAGCAGGAATCAAATTTCAGCGTTCTGCGTGGCAATCAAGTATTCTACCACATAGCCACATCCGGCCTCGCGACTGCTTTTCAAATACACCGTAACGTTCGCGAAGCGTCATTTGGCAATACAGGGATGGCTATCCAATATTATAAACATCACATATGTACTCCTATGATACATCCGTGACGTCGGGTTTAGATCAACTGTAGTTAAGCGCAATGCACTGAGGATGATTGACAGTTTATACCAACCGAGAAACGGTGAGAACAGATATCGGAAATTTTAATTGGAAAGCGTTAAGAAAAATTGGTGCCTCTTCACGAAGTGAATGACGACGAGTGGGCGAATCAATAGGTCTTAAGGTCCATAATGTCCACGTTGGAGTCGCCAACTTTTGTAAAGCACGGACAAATGGACGGACGGATGGACACACGGACAGACTGACAGGTGGACGTGTGCATGCATATACATACAGGTGAATACATGCACGGATGGTAGGACGCACGAATGAATGTATGGGTGGATGGACGTATGGACTGACGGATAAGGCGGGTGATCACCTATTGGGCTGTCGTATAGTTCATTACACAAAAAGTAGGTTGTTTAAAGATATGTTTTCGTTTTTGTTGCGCAGGTGTTCAGTTTCGGAGTGGGTGTTGTCGGGCGTGATGGGCGTCAACAAGGTGATCCCTGTGGAGCTTCACCTCTAGCAGGTATCATCGGCAGCGTTGATCCAATGAACCCATAGGAAAAAGTATGGTGGTCCTAGCAGGAATTGAATCCCAGTGTACAGTGTGGCAATAAATCATTCTATCACAGCAGCGCCAGGTCTCAGAACTGCTTTTCAAATAGGCCGTAATGTTCGTGAAACGTCCATTGTCAATCTTATAAACAGTACATACACATTCCTAATAAACAGCCTTCACATCGAGTTAACGACAATTAGCTCCATCCACTGAGCTTAGCTTGTATTAGCGTGGTACACATAAGAAGGAAAGACGACCCAGGCGTAATGAAAAGTAGGCGCTAATCCATCCACTGAAACTCGTTTATCTAGCAGTAAGATTCAATTATCTAGCAGTGTCCAGGGCCACCATCCTTGCTGGCACAGGTGCTACATATAAGCTTGCTGCTTCTGAGGTTTCTAATACCCATGCCGCCTTTGGCATCGTTAGGCAACAGTAAACATGCGACTAAATTTGTAGATATATTTAGTGTCATTTCGTAACGTTTCCTTCAATAAAAAATTACAAAATAGTCACGTTCCCTCCACATTCTTCGCATAACATCGATTGACAAGGTACGTGGCATCTGCCGACTTCTTCTGTGAAATTGTTGACATTACTCAACACACTTACGAAAAAAAAAACATTTATCGGCCCTTCGGATAAAGCACTTCGACAACAGTACGAACATGCTAACGTACAGTGACGTTGCATTCGCAATGTAATAAATTTGATGTGCTTTACACAGAAAGGTACTTCACAAATTCAATGACACGTGTACTTAACCTTGTCTTCACTTCACCTGCATACTGTATAAATAAAACTTCCAGTAAGTTAACTTTTTATTTCAAATCACTAGCAAAACGAAAGCGCTGGTCTAACACTGGTCAGATTAAAAAAAAAAGCACTTGAAAGTAATGATTTATCCAGATACATCATGCGTATATGTGAGTACGACACTTGTAAATGAACAGACGCAGAACGAGTGGGCATCAGCCGAACAAAACACGCGGATCGGTTTTCCATCCACGCGTGAGTCCGTGGAACTTTCCTTCGGTTTGGTTTCCTTCGATGGCCCAAGCACGATTCGTTAGACAAGGGCTGCACTCTCCTGTATTAGACTCTGTATCCACTTTTCCATAAATAACAAGTGAGATAAGAGATAACATTTGGTTTTCTTGGAGAAAGCTGAGGTTGTTAGAGATTTATTATTAGTGCAAGTTAGTAATCTGGTGATACATCTTTTATAATGATATATGGGGTTCTTAGTGCAAAAGCACGACATAATGATGAGGCACAGCACAGTTGAAGGATCCGAATAATTTCGACCGCGTGCATTTACCTAACGTGCACTGTCCTTGCACAGTTCACTGGCATGTGCCATTTCGTCTCCATCGAAATTCGCCAGCCGCGGCCGTGATCGGACCCGCAAAAGGTATCCGAGAACAAAGCAGGCACCAACCATAGGAGTCGCGCTCGTGAACCTCGCTTATGAAAGGGATGACGTTACTTTTCACTTAATTGTGTTAAACATGGTCTCGAGTACGCAAGATGAAGAGTGATTTCTTTCTCTCTCTTTCTCTATCTTTCTATTTCCTTTCAATACATTTGGCCACACGAACGAATGCAACATTTTGCATTAAAATACAAAACTACGCAGGGAAATCGTGACGATTTAATTAGCACGGATGCTTTTTCGTGGTTCAGAATCAACTAATTAACTAATTTGCTGCTTACTCCTCCGAAGTTGCAGTTTAGTTCACCTTGAAGTGATTGACTCTTAGTGAACAAGACGCCAAAAGCGACCTACCAAAGGACGGTAGATATAGCTCGAGAACAGAACGATGACAGAGACAAGAACGACGCTTAAAATCCAACGATAATAACAAAGTTCAAACCCCACAATAAGAAATCTAAATGAAGGGAGTCTAGCTCTGCGGCTACATCTCCATGAAGTCGCTCTGTCGTCGTTCTGTTCTCGCGCTATATCTACCGTCATGCCATACCAACTAGCCCAAACCGCCACACTTCAAAGCTATCAAAGGAGGTGGTACGAGTTGCAAAACATGTCGAACAAAGAAATAATCATTGCCCTTGACTGACGCGCACGCAAGAGATGAAGGCTTGCTCCTCAGTCAAAGACGTATGAGGCAGTCCATCGCATGTGCGAAGTGCGTCTAAAAAGAGTTTATGCACGGGGAGGAGAAGGTGGCCTAACGAATAGAATTGAGAAGACAGAGATTTGTTTTACTCTCCTTTCAATTTCACTCTCCCTGAAAGTCCTAAACGAACGCACGAACGAGGTTTGGTACACGATGTGTTACTCTCGTTACCAGAGATGACATGGTTTGGGATTGTCAGTTTTGATTGTCGATTGCTTCATAACTGATAGGGTCGCGAAAAGTTTGCTTAATTACTGATAATATAGTCAGAAATAGAAAATTTACAAACAGAAATCGGTGATATAGCTTTGTGCCAACCGGAGATCAACGTCGGCATGACAAGTCCAAGTATATATTTGCTTGACACCTGGTTGCTTGGGACTTCAGTGGACAGTTTCCGTCACTGACTGTCATCGCACAGCAACAGTGTGTTGTGATTTATAAATTACATATTCAGGCGCATTTACGATGATTTTCGGTCGTAACCACGTCATTTACTTCATGAAATCAGGGTTTCCACGTATACTCGTCTGATGGGGTAGAATCATTGAATGAAAGACGAGGACGACCACCAAAACTGAGAAAAATAAAGCAATGTATTGACGTTTTTGCACTCGGAACGCGAACCTTGTTGACAAGATTGCGAACCAGGCTCATCCGAGCTCTAACGTCTCATTGTTATTTTTTTTCTTGCGACCGGCTTCTTCACCTTTTATTCGACAACGTGCGGTTTCAATGATTTCTGACTATTATGCGCTTTTTCTACATGCTATATATAGGGAATGTCGGTTAATGTTGTATCCCACATATAAAAGTCAGATCTGAGAATAGATTCGAGAGCTAAA